TTCACATATCTGTATTTTCACAGACCAGCTGCAGACCTGAGTCCATCTGAGGAACAAAGAGAGAAAAAAAGAGCCAACCAAACTACCAATGAAAAGGACAGAACGAACAAACAACAAGCGATCATCAAATGTTCAAACAATCACAAGAAATGAACGATGAGCGACGGCAATTAACAACACAACCAAGGAGCAAACAAACAGGAAATGACCAGCAGACGAACAACAACAACCGAGGAAAGAAAAGAAAAGAAGAACCAACCAACCAACAGAAGAACCAATGAACAGACAGAATGAATGAATGGACGGCCAACCGAACGTCCAACTGACTGAACGAACAACGGAACAAATCAGCAAACAAACAACCAATAGAAGGAACAGCAAAATAACCAACGAGGGGATTAACGCAGATTAAAGGAAGGAAGGAAGGAAGGAAGGAAGGAAGGAAGGAAGAAAGAAAGAAAGAAAGAAAGAAAGAAAGAAAAGAAAGAAAGAAAGAAAGAAAGAAACAAACAAACAAACAAACAAACAAACACAGGAAGGAAGGAAGGAAGAAATAAAGGAAGAAAGGAAAGAAGGAAGGACGAAAGGAAGAAAGAAAGAAAGAAAGAAAGAAAGAAGAAAGCGACTCCAGACTCTGGTTGGATTGGCTGCCGTCTCCCTCTCCATTCTGCCACATCAGCTGAAACCTCTTTTCACAGCTCCTGTTGCTCTCAGCTCGTAAACTTACACTCACTCCTCTTTTTCACCAAGGGAAAGAGAAAAGAGAGAGAGAGAGAGAGAGAGAGAGAGAGAGAGAGAGAGAGAGAGAGAGAGAGAGAGAGAGAGAGGGAGGGGAAGGGAAGGGGAGACGGATGGTACCGCTGCCTTCTTGCTTTAACAGCAGCTCCAGCAATATGCTTCACATTCTTTCCTCCTCTTCTTCTCCTCGACATTCCTCCTCTTGTTCTTACACTCCCTCCCTCACTCTAAAAATAAAATAAAATAAACTACCCAGTGGATATTCTCTAATCATTTAGCCTAAGGATGCGTGTAGGCTTACAAGGCTCCTGCTTACTTATCCACACAGCCCAGAAAAGCCTCGCTGCATGCATGAATTATGCATGGAGAGGAAACCTATGGGTGGATTTTTTTAACGGGGGGTGAAACTGGGTGTGGACAAACAATCAATAAATGAGTGTTGGAATGCAGCCCGTCTGATATGACACCCCGTTTGACCCACTAACACGTATTCCACTCTCTGCGCTCAGCCCCCAGAATGCCCAAGAACATTTCCAGTGATTTCTTTTTCTTTTTCAGTCCCTTCTCAGTTTTTTTTTTGAAACAGTTGAAACACTTAGCCTAGTTAGCTGGTCTTTTATCCAGCGCCAATTAGCCGGCGATTAATGAATTATTGAGAAACGGGGAAAAGGGGGGGATTAAATTTTAATGTGGATCTTAAGGGGGGAATAGTTGTATTACAAGTCACCGTGAGCGGCAGAGCGAGGAGACGCCCACCCTCAGCAGGCGTTTACAATAATCTACAGCCGTTTACCAAAGCATGGAAGGAGAGAGAGAAAAAAAAAGAGAGGAGGGGGAGAGAGAAAGTGTGAGTGGAGGGACAGGGTGAATGAGAGGGTTTTGGCTTGGAGAAAAGACGCTGTGATCAAACTTGCAGAACGGCCAAAAGCTACAAAAGTCCATATGCTGTGATACGAGGAGTGACCACAGCCAAAACCCTCTCTCTGTTTAAATCATTTTCTTTGTGTGCGTTCATCCACCAAGTGACCCTTCACTGCTCCCCTGTGTGTATGGGTCACCTGCCACCCCTGCACCCTCTCCACCTAAACAACCCCCCCACCCCTAAACTCCGGAGCAGTAATGTAAGATTGGATCTTTCAATAGGGCGCTCATGTAAGGCCGATAATAGGAGATGCTGAGATAAGGATAATGTATGTCTGAGGGGGGAAGCTCTCTCCAAGGTGATCGTTCTGGTTCAGTTCGCTCTTCCTCAAGCAGAACCTGTATTGGCACTTCAGACTTAACTGGTATTGATTTACTTAGGGTTAGGACTGCCCCCCCCCCCCCCTCTGTGGCCCCTCCTGTTTCTCATTCACCTCCTGCCAACCTGTCTCTGTTTATAGTCCTCCCAGAACACCTCTGTCTCTTTTCCTCTCTGCCAGGGTGAAGTTATTTCATCCGATGGAGCAGTCAATAAAAGCTGCTCTTCATGGTATTCTGATAGTGTGTTTAACTGTACATCACATTAGGCCGATCATTTGATCTATTATTTATTACAGGAATTAATCAGATAAGAGGAAGAGGCATGGGTGCCCACTTTCTCCCGCCTCACCCTGTCACTCCTAACACATCTCTGAGTGTGTCAGCGGCTGCTGTAGCGCTGTAATTAGTGGCTGGATGTGACACATGTTTCCAATTTGCTACGTCTGGTCACTGAACTGGAGGGGGGGAAGGGGTGACGGAGCGAGGTAGAGATAGAGACAGGCGGAAAGTGACAGGAGAGGAAGAAAAAAAAAAGAGGGGAGAGATGGAAGGGGAGGGCGGGGTCAGGGGGGGAGGCAGCTTGAAGAAGAAGAAAATGTAAGAAAGAGGGTGAAAGGTGGAGGAGAGAGAGGGTGAGGAGGAGAGAGAGAGGGCGAGGAGAGAGAGGGTGAGGAGGAGAGAGAGGGCGAGGAGAGAGCGGGTGAGGAGGAGAGAGAGAGAGGGCGAGGAGGAGAGAGGGTGAGGAGGAGAGAGAGGGCGAGGAGGAGAGAGAGAGAGATAGGGTGAGGAGGAGAGAGAGGGAGAGAGAGAAAGAGGGAGAGAGAGGGCGAGGAGGAGAGGGAGAGGGAGAGAGAGGGTGAGGAGGAGAGAGAGGGTGAGGAGGAGAGAGAGGGTAAGGAGGAGAGAGAGGGTTAAAGGTGGAGGAGAGAGAGGGTGAAAGGTGGAGGAGAGAGAGGGCAGGGAGGAGAGAGAGGGTGAGGGTGGAAATTGCTCATAGAGGTGGAAAAGAGAGACAGGAGTAGAGGCGGTGCAGGTGGACGGTCTGAGCTTCAAAGCAGCCTGCAGAGGTCCAGAGGTTAACAACGTGACAGTCCATTTGCTCCATACAGATGATGTGAACCATACATGTGCTGCTGCACCTGATTGATACACACTACTGCTCCTGCTTTACAAACCACATGTGTGTGTGTGTGTGTGTGTGTGTGTGTGGTGTGTTGTGTGTGTGTGTGTGTGTGTGTATGGGCTCAGGATTCCAACCAGTGGAAGATATATATACACTACTTGGACAAGCATGGGCCCTTAACATATTTCAGCCCAAGGCCAAAGCCTGACTTCGCCCTGAGGCAGCTGAAACTGGAGTAGTGCTCTTGTCATGTAGAGAGCGAGGAGTACATGGAAGTGTGTAGAAAGAGCCAAGAAAACAAAGTGGAGGAATGACTAAGCTGATTAACTGTGAATGAGAAGCTTCATGAATGAGCTTCAGAGTATACAATAGGCTTTGTATTTTCAATATATGAGCGAGCAAATCAGTGCAGATGAATATGGAGGCTGGCGTCAAAGCCACCACCCCTCTAATTGCCCAGCCAGGCCCCCCGTTCACTAAGCCCTGTGACACCCACCCCAACGCTAAACTCCATTAGGAGACAATCACCTGGAAGGCCTCAAAGAGCCCGGGCTGTTGGCTTCTCAGTGAAAATTACCCTCCCGTGTCCACATTCTGCTCCCTGTCGGGTGAATCCACCCACTGATGACAAAGAAAAAAAGCCCCTCATTAAGGGCTTCATGCCTGGCTCCACAGCGGGGGGGCCCACGCACAGTCACATCTGTGGAGAGTGGAGAAACCAGGCAGGCCGTAGCCTACAGCACAGGGAGGCATTAAAAACCTGTTAGTGTTTGAAGAAGCCCCCTGGCATGGGTGTGAGCTGGTGGTGGCAAGTTCTGGTAGGCTAGCTAAGACTGTCTAAATATGCTTTTATGTTTTTGTTTTTTTTATGTATTGAAAATGAGTCATGTTTGCATAGATACAAAGGGGGGCCTCTTGAGACCAGTATTTCCACAAAGCTGATAGCTCGGTGGCCCAAATATTGAGCTGAAAAAATGTCATTGTCCCAGTTTGAGGCCTGGTGAGAGAAATTGAGGCCTGGTGTCACCTCTATACAAGCCGCCCTATTATTCTCATAGCTCCCCCACCAACCCAACCTTCCTACCCTGAAGGAGAACCATTCAAACACTGGGAAATTGGCAGAGGTGTGAGGAAAGTGGTGTCGGTCGTTAAGCCGAGCCGGGCCGGCCCGAGAGGTGTTTAAAATGACATTTCCTCAGCTAATGCCTGACACCTTCTCCAGAGGCAAGAGAGAGAAAAATGCAAATGAGCAAGGCATGGCAGAGTGGGCAGACGCGGGTTGTTCATGAGGCCTGCGGGCTGGGGGGGGGGGGCTAGACTTTAATCAAGGTCATCCAGCAACTGCAAATTAGAGCATCTCACACACACGTCTTTATGATCCTGCGCACAGTTTCTGTGTTTCCTGGCTTACAGAGACTTTAGCAAACAAGAAGTACATCTGGATGATCCTCAGTGATCAACGTGAGGGGGCGGGGGGGCAGACTCAGACCAGCTGTGAACCAGAGGAGCCAGTTTCTGCTCACAGTGTGTACGTTTATCACATTTCACTGTTTATAGCGAAACCCTGTTGGATTCCAAACAATGGTGATGGAATGATGTTATGTTGGGGAGAAAGTCAAGGAACTGGCAAACTACATATCTTCTTTAGAACAATAAACACAGTGAGCCTGTTGAGTTAGTGTTTTTATGTGTTTCTGTGTTACTTTTTAGGCACTTAACTTCCAATGAATGAGTCCTAAATCCCTCTTTCCAAGAACAAGATGTTTACCACCCTTCTAACATGCAACCATAGTCATTATTCGATCCCCCCCCACCCGTGGCTGCAAACTTCACGTTCAAACCTGCAAAAGAAGCAACCAGTACAATGTGAAGGTCTGTAAGTGGGGTTTGCTCTTACCTTTCGTTCAGAGAATTCCAGTAGATAGGCTCCATATTGCTGGCCGTCGTCCCCAGTAAATCCAGTAAGAATACCAGAAGGATCCACAATCCATTCCCACTTCTTTGACACGCCATCTCAACCCTGACACCCAGCATATGTAGCCCCATTTGAAAGAGAAAAACAAAAAGGGCACTTTTACTGTGTTTTCAGTGCTGATGCAAGGAGACTCTCAAAAACAATGGATATGTGCGACTGCAGCCGAGCAGGCTTTAGGTAGAGGCAGTCAAAGTGTGAAGTGGAAGCCTGTTGTATTCAACCTCATGGATCCCAAAAATGTAAAAATTAAACCGAAACCAGACCCGAAAAGGTTGCAGGGAAAACTTGTTCAATCCTCCGCGCCTGGATCTCCAGAAACGATCGTTTTTTTCTCCGCGTCCACGATCGTACTATTTCAGTGCCAATCCCATGACTTTCCCATTAATTTGTCATTAGTCCTCCTTTTTTTTCTGAATCAGCGCTCCTCAACTCAAATATAACTCCAAGGAATCGAAATTTTCTGACATTTATCGCCACCCAGGAGCTATGTGTGCTTCTTTTCGGTGCGCCCTAATTGTCTTTTTCCGAACAATGTTCCCTTGTTCTCTGTGCCGACTCTGTGTGATTTCTCTCCCATTACCTTGTTTTCCCGCAACAAGATCCACCTTCCAACATATAAGGCAGGGGCTGAAAAGAAATCTTATCAGTCTGTTAGAAGAGAATTAGTCGAGATCAGGCCAAAAAACTGTGCCAGCTGAAGCGTTTAAAATGGAAAAGATGTCACTGGTGTCCACAGCTCCATCCTCATAAAGACATGTTGATGCTCGGTGGGCTTTAGTCAGTCAGTGCGCATTACAATCCTCATTCTCATCTTTGTGAAATACTCAGGTTGAACAACGGCTCGTAAATCCGAAAATCCTTTGGAAACCGATTCCTTGAAAATAAAAAATAGAAACAAAATCAGGATCCAAATCGTGGATAAGTCCCAGATTCAAATCGAGCTACGACCCAAGACAACTGAGAGAAACAAAACCAAAGAGCTAGAAAAGCATCCTCGCTGTGGTCATGTCGCATAAAGGCCAACGTGAAACTTGTGAAGTGATTAAAAAAAAGAAGATTCGAGCAGCACGCATCAGTCCGTGTTGGAAATTGAAGCCTGTCTGATGCAGCGCGTCGTTTGAAGAGCTGGACGCGCTTTCTTCATTCGTTATCTCATCCGTCTCTCTGCCTCAGAATCCCACTGCTTTGACTTGCCCTAATGCTCGCAGCACATTGACAGACCGACTGGCTTGTTTGAAAGAAGGCGGGGGGAAAAAGGGGACGTGGATGAATGAAAAAAAAATCCCCATCCTCCGACTGGCAGGCATGGGCGCACTGATGGAGCGCAATTCTTCCTGGCTTTTTTCGGGGGGTGGGGGCGGTATCGAGTCCCTTTCAGCACCTCCTCTCTCCTCCTCCTCTCTTGGTTTCAGGGGCCCCCCAACTCGGACCTCTGGACTCCCTGGCGCTCTATTCTGCCTCCTTTTCAAACGCCGAAGAAGAACCTCCCCCCCCCACCTCTTTAGACGCTCGCCAACGTGCGCCCTCCTCTGCTCAGCGCCGTGATGGAAGAACACCAGCGCCCTCCATGTATTAAGTGGGCATCACATGAGGCACTGGCACAGGATTGCATTGAAAAAAAAGTCGACCTGAAATTTAAGAGTTGTATTTTACACAGAAAAAAAGTCCTTTTAGGAGTGTTTCAGGTTTATTAGGGATGAAATGCGCCTCAAGGTACATATTTAAAAAATATTACTACACTATTTTAAAGGATAAAGTTCAATCCCACAGTCAAACTATGAGTAACATGCACATATTTGGAAACTGTTGCTTATATAAAAATAAATACTTAATTGAAAAGAATGACGTCACACTTATTATAGGACTGGTTTCACCTCAGACGTATGCAGTCCAGTCTAAACAAAAAGGATCCCCCCCTCTCTGTCTGTGTGGAAGGATGTGGACCTAAAGGAAGAGTCCCAGCATCCAGCACCGACACTTTAAAGTGGGTCATCCACCTTCATGAGGTACAGGATGAGCCGGCTGACAGGCCCCCCATTGAGGGACCACACCAGTGTTTACACTGAGGCCCCTGCAGCCAAAAGAAAAGGATTCACTTAAACAGACACTGCTACACACAGACAGAAACATGTAGGCAATTAGAGATGGAGGACTGTCAAATCCGTGGCTGTACTGCCCCCATGTGGTAGATACAGAGCATGAAATTGACTGGACTGAATGTCAGGTTGACGGTGTACACTCTGCAAAGTCAACGAACTCATATGTCTGGCATTATTTTAGGCTAACTGCTTCTCATTTCCTTCATTTCCTTACCTTACTTAAATCCATTCACTTTCTGTGATCTTACACTTTTTCAAGCGCTGAAACCCCAGATATGTTACTCTAGATTAACCATTTTTGTGAATCCAAAATGTAGACATTTTGAAAAGAGCACTTGGGTTTTTTTTACACATTATTTTCATATTGTTCTTCTCTAAATAACTTTAAGACTGTCAATGTGATGCTTAATGTCATTGGAGGCTCTGGAAGGGACTTTTAGAAGAAAAAAATGATGATGTCATAGATCTGCGATCAGTTTTGTTTTGTCTTTTGGTGTAAGATTTAAACATGTGTTTTTACAGTATATCCTTTGGTTTCTAAATGAGAGGAGTTGAATTTAAAGAAATGACCCTTTAAGAGGAATTTGAATTGCATTATTTAGAAACGTAGGAGCCATTTGGAGTTTGAGCAATTTGAATAGAAGTCTGAATTTTGAGCTCCAAATGTGACTTTTTTTTCTTTTAACGTGTTCTTTTGAGTGCCTCAAATTTTGTGAAAGTGCGATGTACAATCTGTAAAAGTGCCACTTTAAAAAGAATGATTTTTGCCGCTCTTTTCCCCCCTAAAAATCATCTTTAATTACAAAACTTACTGCAAGTGCTCATACATGTGTGCTTTTCTTAAATTGACGGACTTAAAGAAGATTTTTCTGTTACGATAAGAATGCACAACACTTCTCAAATTGTTATCCTGCAGGACACATTTGAATACTAGTGTGCCCAGATGACATTTTCAAGTACAAAATCATCCTGTACAAAAAGCTGAGCAGCCTGCAACGCTCCGACATAATGCTGAGTCCTTGAGTTCTCCAAACTCCAGCTGCACAACAACACAATTACAGAAAACATCCAGAGAGAGAGACACTAAGAAAAGAGACCTGTAATGCTTTTCATGGAAAATATTTCTCTTAGAAAAAAAAACAGTGGGAGGAAACACTCAATGCAACACCTCCTGCTGTTACTGCACTGTCAGGGAGCGAGGGGAAATGAAAGTGAGATTGAGACAGAGGGGGAGCACGGGGAGGGAGGAACAAAGATTATACAGAAGTCAGGTTTACAAGAGCTGCAGACCTGACGCTTTGTTGTCTTGCTCAAAGGCGCTTCAGCAGAGCAGAGGAGTCGTCTAACACGGACTGAGAAGAGGACTGGAGAGTAAGACAAAAGTGCAGACTCTTTTCTCCGCAATGCCCAATTATAGCATGCTTTCAAGAAGAATTGTAATTGCAGGTTATGGGATCCAAACAAGCAACAAATACAGCATTGAGATTTTATAGAGCCAGTCATGGAGAGAGAGAGAGAGAGAGAAAGACAGCATTGATGGAGCTGTTTCTGTTGAGCTGGCCTCCCAAAACCTTGGCAGGGCAGATGACAGAGCTAAATGTAGTGGAGGAAGACAGACTGGTTTATAGACAACAGTAGTTCAGAGGTGGAGCTGGCATGAAAAACAAACCTTCTGCTCTGTCTGGGAATCTATGTGTGTGGGGGAAACTGGCAGAAATGTGGCTCTCGCTGGCATTTGTGTTTGTGTGTGTCGAGGATGAGTCATTTTTTTTTTTTTTGAAACTGCAGAGCTATAAGATACGACCTACATCAGACCTGCCACACTGCTGAAAGACTGAATACACTTACACTCAGGAGGTATAGTGAACCTAAGGAGTGTGAAGATGCATGTGGTTATTACAGCTTATTTATTGATGCTGACCTCATTTACTGCACCGACCTTCAACTCTTCTTCATAACCGCATCCGCTCCCCGGTGACTCTGGCTCAAGTCTGCTCCAGCTGCCAGACCACACTGCGCGCACACACACACACACACACACACACACTATATGAACTATAAACACACATGCAGATAGGCATGTGCATCCCTTTCACATAGCGTGATGCAAACACAATCAATTACAGTAAGAGCTTTGTTAACATTCTGCATGTGAGGATTATGGTTAGAGAACAGGAACACACAGAAAGACCTCAGACAGGAAAACATGCACCCTGATGGGAATGAAATTCACACTGAGGGTGGTTGCACAAGTGTGTGCATGCACGAGGGGGGGTGTGGGTCGGTGTCAGAGCATGGCACCCTCGCCCGCCTGCCGGTTGATAGATCTCAGCTGCACGTCTTTATCCTTCAGCATCTGTCTGTCCCTGTGAGTTTCCTCATCTTTACACACATGCACAGCGCCGCAGCAAGAACGGCTCCCCTGCCAGCCAGCACACACACACACACACACACACACACACACACACACACACACACACACACACACACACACACACACACACACACACACACACACACACACACACACACACAGCTTCCTGTGACAGAGACGGGGGTGGTGGGGATTAAATGAGGTGAGGGGTTGTGCAGATCACACTTATGGATTGCACAGAGCGACTGGTTGATTCTGCTTTAGTAAACAATTTGTACCTGACAGCTGATCTCCCTCACACATCTACCTACATTTGCATATTTAAGCAGTCTGCATGTTTGTTCTTGTTTTGCTATACTTATGAGGATTATTCATCGGCTGCAATCATTCTCTAACACCACAAACAGAAAATAACTTTAACCCTGCAAGGTCACACTGCAGGATTTCGAAATGCAATCAAATCAGTTTCTGGTGTTGCTGTCCAGGTTTCTTTTATGCAGGAAGTTACTTGAACTCATCACCCCTCCTCCAGCTTCTGAGAAAAATCAAGTTAGCCTCTGAGTTGACTTCAGTTGACGCTCACCCTAACCCAGATATTCTGCAGAGATCTCCACACGTCACACTAGTTCTGAACAGATTTGGAGTGTGTTGTAACTTATTCTCCGGGACAAGCATACTAAATCTGCCTGACATTTGAGTGGGATGTGGGATTCTTATAATGCACAATGTAATTTGTCAGAAAATGAGAAGTTGCTTCCTGCAAGAAAAATTATAAAAAACTGCGAACACAATCTGTGGAATTTGGATAAAAATGATTTGTTTAGAAATGTTTTCCTATTGTGGAGTTTAGCTTCAGCTGGGATTCTATCAGAATAAATACAATAATCAGAGAATAACTCAGGACGTGTTTTAAGTTATTCGCAAGGACCCACCAAAAGGACCCCGACATCATACCTAGTTATCAGCTGTTGTTGTTTTTTTCAGATTTGCCACCCAACTTTTAAAGTTGATACAAACCTTACTGGCTGACACTTCCTGTCTGTTAGCTGTTGAATACTACACCCAGAGGCTTTTGCTAGCTTTCTTGACAGCCCAAATTAATTATCACATTACTCACGATAACAAAGCTGGTGTTCCCATTGTAATGGAGTCATTTTAACTCATTACCTTGAAACAACAAAGCTTGTTTCCTTATGTCAACGGGATCATTTCCTGGTTATGTAGAAGACATTTTGTAGGCTGGTCCCTGTTGGAGGCCAGATCCCCGACATGCCCCACGCTAATGACATCAGTCAAGCCTATTTCTATTTTTTGAGCTTTTTCAACTCTTAGAATACAAGATGAATAAGTCGGGATCTCAGAAAACAACAAACAACAGGAATACCGGAAAGTACTTGTAATCACAGGAAAGAGTAAAAAAAAACATTTGTATGTATGCATGTCCGCTTTGGGCTTCCGTAGAATAGCCTCAAACGCCTAACTAGCTCCTTTTAGTTTGTTTAAGGTCAATAACTTTTAAAAGCCTAAAGAGATCAAAACTATCAGGGGGTTTCATAAGGAAGCAAAGATAAGAACAGACAAAAAAATAAAATGAACTAGCAGAACATTGTTTTTTTTCTGTCCTCTCAATGATCTTCCTTCTTCCTGTTACGGTAAGAGAAGTGTGGACTTTGTACATAGCACTGCCAGATGTGAAATGTTATTGCAGTCAAGTGTATCCACTTAGTGTCCATGGAGTCAACAACAAGCTAGTTATAGGCTGCTCAACAAACGCTAAATCCTAACACTATGAAGCCCTTTATGAGGTGCAGGGCACCAACAATGTGCCTACCTGGGCCAATTTCCTCCTCATCCTGACTTTATGAGACTATTTGGAGCAGGTACACACACCTTTCCCTCCTTCTCCTCTGTGTACCTTCTTCTCTCCCTTCCCCTGCCTCCTTTTTCTTTTCCTCAGCGTCTC